GGGAAAAATTCACAACTTTATCTATCCTAAAATAAAAAATCAGGCCTCAAAATTTAGAATTACAAAAATCAAGTTTTTCATGAATTAATTAATTATATTTCACAATTATTATATTAAATTAAATATTTAACTGCAATATAATATAATTAACCCACCACACCACACCCCACCTCTACCACCCCCTACTGCTCCGACTACTACTCCGGTGGCCGGCGATTGTTCCCCGACCGCACTTAATTTCGACGACTATTTCAGGCCCTGTTTGGGAGGCATTAGATTTTTCTACAGTAAATCAATTTTCATTTTTAACCACACATTTTTCAATAAAATAATATTTTTCATCACATCAATAATTTTTTCTTCTTTTTCAACCATACATTTCTTATCATATCACTATTCAAAATCAATTCTTCCCCAAAAAATCTATCCAAACAAGCTTTCAGTGTTCGTTCGCCGCCGCTTAATTCTGGTAACTGCTCCGATTCCGAGGTTAAAGATATCTTATTAAGTAGTTAAAATTTTAATTTTCGATCACAATTTATCAAATTAATTGGTCACAAATTATTTCGAGAATACAAATAAAAAAATTTATAGGTCACAATTAACTTTATTGGTCACTGATCAAAAAAATTATAGGTCACAAGTAAAAAAATTGTAGATAACAGAGATCACATATTTCCAAATTTGTTGGTCACAGATTACTGAATTTTAAGGTAACGGGACCATATAGTTGGTCACATACATCCAAACACATGTCCCTCAATCCGAGTACACCACCAATACTTGGTCACATGTCACAGATCGAAATAGTTGGTCACATACACCCAAACACCCGTCCCCCAATCCTAGTACACCACCATCGCCGTCTGTACCATCACACCAAGAAAACCACCACCGCCGCCACCGCCATCGACCCCGCCACACACCCACAACCAGTCTGTTACACACACATACCTGTAGCCAAATCTCTTGCTTCTTCTTGCCTCAGCTAAACCTCTACCCCAACCCAACCAACACCTCACGCACAACCAGTCTCCAGCCCACACTGCAACAACACAAACCATAATCTACAAATTATTCGCCGCAGTAATCTCCCATCACCAACCATAACTTCGACCCGAACTGTAACACCAAATTACAGCCCAGCTAGAGACAGTGACCCAGAACTGACCGACGTCGCGACATTAGGGGCAGGAACGTCGAGGCGCTGCTGCAATTCACAGTAGCCCCTCGACGCTGTGAATGGTAGGGAGGAGAAGGGAGGTGAGAGAGAGGGAGGAGGAGGAGGCGGCGGGGGGTGGAGGCACTGCTGCGATTCACAGCAGCGCCTCGACGCTGTGAACACCAAGAGGGTAAGGGAGGGAGGGAAGAGAGGTGGAGGAGGCGATACCTCGCTAATCTTTCAAAGCCGTTGGCCTATCGAGAAATCGAGGCCCTCTAGAGGTTGCAAAACTGCCCAAACGGTGGCAGACAAGGGAGGAAGCAGCGGGAGGTAGAGACGGGAGGGAGGGGGAGGAGAAGGGAGGAGAGGAGGGAGAAGGGGAAGAGACAGAAGAGAGATGAGGGTTTGGGAATTGTGATTGAAATTTGGGGGGGTAGGGGTGGGTATATAGATTAATTTAATTTAAAATATCATTATTAATATTAATTATGAAATTAAAACCTGATTTTTTTATTAAAGAAAGTTAAAACCTGATTTTTAGAAAGATCAAACTAAACAATTGGTTTTAGGTAATTTTCTCTTTTTTTAAAAGTAATATGCTAACTTCCAGCCCAAGGGTGAAGTCCAAAACGATTATCAATACCCATTACCCTTGTGTAAACGGCCCAAACCACTACCCAGCCCAATCCAAAAAATTAAAAACATCACGGTCATCTAGCCTCCATCTCGATTCATTTTTCTCTAGGCTCGACCTCCGCCTCTGCCGCTCTGCGTGACTGCGTCTCCTCCAGTCGGTGGCAAGCCCCCAGTTCCGTAGCTGTTCCTGTTCTACTTCGAGCCCTAGACGCCTCCGTGCCAGCGATTCTTCTTCTTCATCCTTCGACAATCGGCATCAATAACCTACTGTAAGTCTGTAACTAGNTAACTAGCTTGGGTCTTTTCGATTATTACTATATTTTGCGTATATGGTATGCATAAATGATAAACCGTTTGGGCTTTGATTCCTTCATCGACGTTTTATATGATTTTGGTGTTTTTGAATGCATATTTGTGATTTGATTATTATAAGTTACACATATTCATGTTCAATTGTGTAGAACAGTAGATTAAATTTTGCAGTCTGTGTTTTTGAGATTATTGCTTAACTGGTTAATCCAGATTCCCGTGCTTTGCAGCTCTTGATTTTCTCTCATTCCCCAATTTTCTCGTATGAATCTGAAGCATTGAAATAGCAGCCAAGAATTTCACACTTTGTATTGGAGTCAGAGCATCCAACACACCATTGAGGGTCTTCAGCCTTGCACAATCAGTCATTTTCGCCATTTGAAAATCTGGTTTCTTTGTCTTTGGTGGTTTGTTTATGGGGATGCAGTGTTTCTAATTCTGAGTTATTAAATTGAAGGTTGGGTATGAAGAATAGTGGGAATAATCAACTGCTGACACTTTTGTGCAATGGAAAAGTTGTTGTTTTTGATGTTACGGAGCTTTACGTATATTTTCTTACATTTCTTTCCAAATTGTTATTGAGAATTCATGCAAATAGGATTGTGGATTGAACATTTGAACTTCTTACCATTTTTAATTATATGTATATCTATCTACCAATTATTAAAAGACCTATCAATATATATTGAATAATTTCTAATATTATTTAGTTAAATATTAATAAACGACTGTCGACAGTCGACGTCCGCTCATCCGCTCAAGCTGAAGTTTTGTGCGGGTGCGCCCCTGTATATTCCATTCTAAGTTCCCCCATCAATGTCTCTCTCTGTCTCTCGGAATATCAAGCATCGCAGACACAAGCCCTAATTCTAAGTTGTTCTAGCTATGCCACTTTGTTGGGCTGGTATGCGAACATTGAAATGCAGTTATTTATTAGCATTATTCAATTTTAGCTCCAGACTCGAGGGGCAGTTTTTTTCAAGAAATTCGTGTCTTCTCGACACTAAAACTCAATTTTGTAGACACTCCAGGAATTCGTACACTTAATAAGAAGATTACACNNNNCGTACACTTAATAAGAAGATTACACAGTTAATACACAGTGGTCGTCTCGAAGATGCAAGAGCATTTTTTGATAAATTGTCGCAAAGAAACACTGTAACGTGGAACTCGATGTTGAGTGGGTATGTCCAACGTCGAGAGATTGCTAAAGCCCTGAACTATTTGATGAAATTCCTGAAAGAGACGTGGTGTCGTGGAATTTGATACTGTCACTGTATATGTCGTGCAGTAGAAGGAGGTATGTGGAAAAAGGTAGATACTTGTTTGATAAAATGCCTGAGAGGAATTTTGTTTCTTGGAATACTATGATTAGTGGGTATGCGAAGAATGGTAGGATGGATGATGCCTTGAGGCTTTTTAATGGTATGCTGGAGAGGAAAGTGGTGACTTGGAACACAATGATTACTGGGTTCTTGTACAATGGAGATATTAAGGAAGCTATAGAGTTTTTTAAGAGGATGCCAAAACGAGATGCAGCTTCTCTTAGTGCCCTTGTGTCTGGTTTGATTCAAAATGATGAACTCGATGAGGCTGCTGCTCTCTTATTTAAATATGGGAAAAGGGGTGACATGGAAAAATATCTCATTCACGCTTATAATACTTTGATTGCTGGGTACGGCCAGAAAGGGAGGGTTGAGGATGCTCAACGTCTTTTTTATCAGATACCAGTTTGTGGTAACAAAGGAAGTGGGGGAGACTTGAGGTTCGAAAGAAATGTGGTGTCTTGGAATTCTATGATTATGTGCTATGTCAAAGCTGGAGATATTGTTTCCGCAAGGAAGCTGTTTGATCTGATGGAGGGCCGAGATACATTTTCCTGGAACACAATGATTAGTGGCCATGTTCATGTGCTGAATATGGATGAGGTGACCAAACTCTTTTTACAAATGTCAAATCCTGATACCTTGTCTTGGAATTTGATAATCTTGGGCTTCACACAGGCAGGGGATATGGAACTTGCACGCAATTTCTTTGAGAGGATGCCTCAGAAAAGTCAGGTTTCTTGGAATACCATAATAGCAGGATGTGAGGAAAATGCGAACTACAAAGAAGGCATTGAACTTTTTCTTAAGATGCAGAAATGAGAGAAACCCGATCGTCACACTCTGTCCTCGCTTCTTAGCATTTGTGCTGAAACTGCAGATGTGCTACAAGGTATGCAAATTCATCAATTGGTTACAAAGGTTGTTATACCGGACATACCATTAAATAATTCTCTCATTACCATGTATGCAAGATGTGGGGCAATAGTTGAAGCAAAGACCGTCTTTGATGAGATGAAATTTCAGAAGGATGTCATCTCTTGGAACTCTATGATAGGAGGATATGCATCTCATGGGTTTGCCAAGGAGGCCCTGACACTCTTTGAATCAATGAAGCAAATTGAAGTGAGACCAACATATATTACATTCATATCAGTTCTCAGTGCATGTGCTCATGCTGGTCTAGTGGAAAAAGGCAAGTGACATTTTAGATCCATGGTTAGTGATTTTGGTATTGAACCGAGAGTTGAACATTTTGCCTCCCTTGTGGATGTCGTCGGTTGGTTTGGACAGGTTGAGGAGGCCATGGATGTTATTCGTGATATGCCAACTGAGCCAGAGAAGGCTGTGTGGGGAGCTTTGTTGGGCGCTTGTAGAGTGCACAACAATGTGGATTTGGCGAAAGTTGCAGCTGAAGCACTAATGACATTGGAACCAGAAAGCTCGGGCCCGTTCTTCTTGTTGTATAATATGTATGCTGATACTGGGAGATGGGATGATGCAAATGAGATCAGGATGCTTATGGAGAAGAATAATATTAAAAAGGTACACGGCTATAGCCGGGTGGATTCCACTTGTTTGTATTGTTTGTGCTCCATGAGAAAGTTAATTATTTGGGGACAAGTGGATGCTCACGCCACAAAATGGGATTTGTTGAAAAAGAGATTGATGATGGCATTCCCTTCTTGTTCCTCAGCTTTTGGAATTTCATATTACAGGGCTGAATTGCAGCCACCTAAGTCTCGTGATGTGATCCTCTTGAAGCTCTCTTGCCATGACAGAAGGGGCCTTTTACATGGTAATTGCTATATTCCACGACTCATACTCTTGTCGGTAGTTGTTTCTGATTTAACTGTTACAGTAATTATGAAATTTAGCACTTATGAATGTTGAAACTCATATTTCGAATAGGTACTTTCTCTAGTATGACTCAAAAAAAAAAAAAAAACACTAAAAGTAAGGATTATTGATTTTATAATATGGACATTCGAGTTTTAAGTCTCATTGTGGTAATACTAATTTACTCCTTTGTCCCTTCTCCCCCTTCTCAAATTTGTAGAGGTACGTCATGTGATTTTCTTTAATTATCTCTTCAGATGTTTCACGTATTAATTTATCCATTTTCTTTCCCTATATCCACCAGTTGTTGGATAATAAAGAATCTTGACTGAGAAGGATATCTGGGTTAGATCCATTAGTTGAATTTTGGAGAATTTTTTTGGCAGATGTGACATGTTCTTTGCGAGCTTGAGCTTACAATAAAGCGAGTTAAGATAGGGATGTCCATATATTTCTAGTAACCTGTATAAGTTGTAAAGAAAACCGTTTAAATAAGCTTATTAGTGAATGTCGTTCCCCACCCTTCAACGCGCACACACTCTTACTTAAAAAATGAGAGGAAAAGTAAAATAACCGAATCAACTGAAATCGTTAGGCTGCTGGCTTCTCAGCATTTTCCCCTATTATTGTTGGTCCTTGGTTCAAAAACTTATTGTGCTTCTCAAAATTTTCAGGTAACTTTTGCATACTACGGTGAGACAGGACAACACATATGACCATTTAAAAGCTGTTCTAGGGGATGATATAATCGCTTGTGACATAAAGATTGTAGGTCCTGAAATTACTGCATGTTGACAAGGATCCTCATTTCTTCCTGATGTAATTATGGAAGACGTGTAAAATGCAGACATGAATGATGAACACAAAAGTGGATCTGTGTCCTTCGAAAGTCCATCTACCACGATTGATAACTCGTTGAGTCCTGCTCACACACTTGTCCAGATTGTTTGCCAGGATCACATAGGTCTCCTATATTATATATTGTGATCTCTCAAGGATTATAACATCCAGGTATTTACTTCTCACTGTTTCCTTCTATTTTCTTTCCTGTTCAACTATTTACTGCTTGATTAAATTATCCTCTCTTAGGAGACTGCAAAGTTTTCTTTCCAGGGTGTTGTCTTAAATTGAAGTACCTGATTTAAATACATTACGGTTTATACTAGATTTCTCATGGACGCTTTTCAACTAAGGGTAAACTAGATTGCGAGCTAGACTTGTTTATCATGTGACGGTAAGAAAATAGTTGATCCCAACAAACAGCATGAACTACTCTCCTCTCTTCGAGTAGAACTAACTTGTCCTCTCAGAGTAGCACTGGTCAGCTGTGGCCCTGATACTAAGATGGTAGTTGCAAACCCTGTTGAGTTATCTGGCAAGGGTCGTCCCCTGGTTTTCTATGACATAGCTCTTGCTCTTTAGATGCTCAACAAAACAATCTTTTTGGTATGTCCCTATAGGCATGCTTTTGTAGTTTCAGATTAAGACTAACTTATTATGCTTTTCTTTCTCCCTTTTCACATTAAGCATAGAAGCATCTTCTGAAATGTGACTATTACAATGTCCAATATTTACAGATGGTTGTTTCATTTAGTGTCCATTGTCTTTATTAATAGTACATCTCAGTTATTGTATGTTTATATCTGTTTTGGTGCTATTATTATGTGTGCACTACACATTTCCATCTATATTGAGAAATCTGTGGTGGGAACTTTTCCATGGAGTTCGTGAAAAGGAATAATTTGTTGTGGGACATGCAAGTACACAAACACAAAAGAAAGAGATCCCACTTAAGCTTTAATAGTGTTTAACTTAAAAAAAAAAAATGAAAAGAAGGAAACAGAAGATAGGAAAATTTACCCAGGTTAGAGGAAATTGTAGATGGCAAGTGCGCTATCTGAATAATGATCCGACTCGTTCTATGTATCTCTTCCTGATTTTCTTTTTAAATGAAAATGATCAGATCTGAAAAAGTTAAGTAACATTCTTTCCAACTATACATGTGGATACTTATTTATTGTAACATTTGATGCTAGATCTGTAATACATAATAAGTTGTATGCAATATTTTCTTAAAAGCTGTAATGCATAACGTGTTATATCTTTTCTGTCTGGGGTGTTTGGCTGCATTTTACTTTTCTATCATCAAATTTTATATTCACATGGTTATATATTAGAATTTGTTCCTTGTCGATAAAAAGTATCCCGCATCCATATCATCAATGTTTTAGGACGAGGCAAAAGTATGAAGTAGAACATAAGGTGCTAGGAGACAACAATAACTTCAGGTACACGAGAAAAGGCCAACGCATCTGTAAATTTTGATTGATCCTTTAAAGTGCGTTCGTCTACTTTATTACAATGCTGTAGAAATTCCCTCTTATAATTTCCAGTATATTCCCAGTTTGTGTAAGATTCCAGCAACCACACTCCAGAAGGTGATTTCAGCAAATATTACATATAATAGCGTCCCCACTCTTTCAGATTTCCAAACATCATTGAAAACATGCTGTTGAATCCAGTTGACCTGAAAATATTAACAATTTTCAGTTTGTGAAGTGAAATATTCAGTTTATATGATGTCTTAAGGGATTTTATTTGGCACTTACTAGATTGTTGTCTGGATTCTTGTAATACCATCCATTAATGAAAGCTGCAAAAATTCCCTGAGCTGCCATTACAAAAACCAGCATTGCATTCATCCCTATCCATTCCAGGAACAAGAATGGCGTACGCAGTCCCCAGACATCAATCTGTTAATGCACGGGAAACACGTTCAGTTTAGATTTTCGTAGTGTACTTTCTTTTAAGCATGAATACTTTTTCTTTTCTTTTTTCATTGGGAAGGATGGGGGCGGAGGCTTTACCAGTATGTAGAACCCTGAAAATACAATTCCAGCTGCACCAGCTGTGAAACAAACATAGCTGAAGCTGTATAGCTGCTTGTTGATAGGAATAGCTGCAAAAAAAAAGTGAAAATGTGTTCTTATTTTCATGAATAGTTCTTTTAATTGGAAACAATTATGAGCTACTTTTTGTGATAAAGTGCTCACCATCTGTAAAATGAAGAATAACTGCTACAATAAGTAAAACAAGCGCCATTGAAACCCAGTGCTTGAGCCTTTCAGCATGCTCCTGCAAGAAGTATTTAATTCTACTGTGAATCATGCATTGCTTTCTCAGTTTAATCTTTTCAGTTTATTTTAAATAATTTGAATTAATGATGCTGAAGATGACTTTTACCTTAAAATGAATTAATACATGTCCATAGTGAATGCCAATTGTGCCAGAAAGGATGGCTGAAATTGTGCTGAAAACAAGTCAAAGCATGCTTAGTTAGCCAAAATAAATCTTTCTTTCGAAAAAAATGAAAAAGAAGAAGATATATAGGGCATTATTGCTGCACGATATTGGACGAGTTTGACTAATATAACAAATAGGATTTTCAATTTTTTTGGAGATTCGTGTCGATAAGATAACCGAGATGTGATGAACTTTTCTTGCTGTCAAGGTTCTGGCTATGATACCCCTTGTCAAATTTGTCAACAATCTAAATAACCATATAGCCGTGACATGTGGGCAAAAATGAAAAAGAAGAAGATATATAGAGTATTCTTGCTACACAATATTGGACAATACTGGTTAGTTTAATGAATAAGATTTCAACTTTCTATCATAGATAATACTGTTTGTGTACAATATTGTATACCAAATATGTCCATACAATAACTGATGGTGGAAATGTGAGAAAGGCAAACCTCAACAGGCCTTCAGGTTCAAATGGACCGTGGCACCAACTCGGTGCATCCTTGCGAAATGGGCCAGAATCAGGTGAACTAAAGGTGCAAGCCTGGACATTGCTCAATATCAACATATGAAATAAATAAATAAATAAAATCACAGAAAAAGCTTATTGTGAATTATAGTATATGAAGTTCTGTGATGTGATCATTCTGACCTTTAATCTTGACCAAACGGGTTGTGAGTACAGGTGATTAATACCCCAGACTTGTCTATCAACATAGCCAACTGCATTGCAGGCAGGTCCAAAATGTCCTCTCATACCACATTTTACCTGAAATTTATTAAGCTGAAAATTGAGTCTGATTTTCTCTGGTGGTAACAAATTATTACTGCATCAGTAGAAAAAAAGAGGTCATTATATTACAGTGTATTTTTCAGATCCATGCTCATGGTGCACGACGAAGCTCCAGTCAGGAACATATAAAGTGAATGTTGTGACCATGTATATTACAAATGCGACAAAGCCTCCAAACCTGCAATTATTTTACATCAGTTAGCAGTCCTGATTTTGGCCTTAAAGGTTGATTGATTTATGTTTGGTACGCAGTATTGAATAAGTTGAGATAATGCAATGAATACTTACCATTGCCATTTATAGGCGGTGAAAATGGAGAAAGAACCGGGTTTTAGAACGGTTGGTCTAAGCTTGGTGGTGAGGGTCTCTATAATAGCCACAACAAAGTATACCAAAGCTATTCTCTGCTTGCACACACAATAAGTGATGTTAAGCAGACACGCAGTCCAGCTTTCTTTACCGAACATTTTTAGACAAAATTTGCACTCATTTTCTAATACAATGTGTCAATTTACTCTTAATTTCCATTAGGAGAATGAGAAATTATCACCTGGAGGATGCCACACCATCTGATTTGCTTCATGTCAACTCCATAGGACAGAACATCTGGTGCATGAGAATATCCTCCTGTAACACGAAAATTTATCACCCAAACATGCCATAATAGTCGCAGTAATGTTGCACCCACAACGTAAAATAACAAAGTCTAGAGACATACAAAAAATGCACTAGAACGAGGATGAATATATTGTATACCTTGCAGTATAATTCCCCAAAAGAGAAGCTTCAATGTTCTTAAGATTATCTTTCTAATAGCAGAATTGACCTTCAGAATTTTCTGCAACATTAAGATGTATTAAAACACTAGTGTCATATAACTTACATTTACAGTAATAGATGATAGGCGTCGTTTTCATTTCCTTTTCGCGCAATTGCAAAATGGCAGGATCAAGGGAAAATCAAGATAAGTTAAGGCTCTACCTTTAGGGCGAGGGCTATTGCAACTCCAACAATGAAGAGGAAAAAGGGCATTACAAAATCAGCCAATGTGCATCCATTCCATGGTGAATGATCTATCCGTGAATATGCTCCTCCAGCATCATCCACAAGTATCATCAACTGCACGCATAAAACTGCTAGTTAAGATGTAGAAATTCAAGTATAGTTGCAAACAAGACATCTATGTACTAGATTGGCATTAGTTAATTAGCCATATACCACTATCGTGAGTCCTCTAAATGCATCCAAGGTTGCAACCCTCTTAGTCTTTTGTTTTTTCTGTGGTTGCTCCTCCTTCAGTTCCTCAGGCTGGTCAGATATTACCACATTGTTTTCCTCGTTCTCATTGCTGGGGTGAATGCCTACCTCGTCTTTCTTACCTTGATGACTAGTGCTTCTTTTATTATTATCCTCTTCGACTACAAGTTGTGAACCTGTGCCTAACCCTTCTTCCAACCTCTTTTCGATTGGATTCTCCATTGAAACTTTGAATCTCTAGTTAGTACATTGCAAATTCTTCTATCACTATATAAAGAAGAGGGAGATAGAGAAGGACAAGAATAAAATCAAAGGCCGGCCATAGTTGGAAATTGACTTGGATGAGTAGGTCCCTAGTGGAAGAATAAGACTTCATATTTGGAAGATTGTTATACTCGGACAAATCAAAGGCGAACATTAAAAAGACAGATAAGCTGTCCTATACTTGTCCGCCTCAGCTTCCCCGCACCGTTCCTGTCCTAGAATTCTAAGCAGTTAAAATCTTGTTCTTCGTACTGTATAGTACATCCTAATACTCTGTATCCACTAATTTGATGAGCAGGACTTCAATTCACACAGCCGGCTAATTGCAAAGAGCAGTAGTATAATATATTCCCTAGACTGACACTGCTCAAATATTTTCTATAAGTGCAGGCATTATACATTTGGCAGTTTCAAACTTGTCCATAGAATATAGAAAAAAAATGCATTTCACGGTGCAAACCCACACTGTACACTTGGTGTTTGGTGGATTTTTTGACACTAGTTAGGAGCTAGCCGTCTTACACAAGAACAGGTAGAAAACAAAACATAAGAATAACGTTGCATCAGAAATCAAAACATAAGCAAATGCATCCCGAATTTATTTTTATTTCGGTTCGGAGGTTAACCAAGTTGTGCTGTGTCTGACTACAAATCTAAACTAAATTGTAACAAATTTTAAATTCAGTGAATAATAATTAAAAAAAAAGAAATAGTAGTGATTAAAGTGAAATTTTACTAAAATTTTGATAGCATCTGGTGTAGCAAAATTGTGACCTCAGAGAGAGACATCTGAAAGGCGTAACTTGAGATAGCAAGTGCCAAGTAAAATATTCATACAAAGAAAAAAAGCAGCCTTATTGATTTGTAAATATGTGATATTGATGGCTTAAAATAATAAAATTACTGCTGAATTGATAAGTTTGTTCTTCCTTTTGAAATGCAACATACCAAGAAGAAAAAGAAAAATACATGTCCCACTTCAGAAAATAGCTATCTGTTTAGCCAAAAAAAGGTGAAAGAATGTCGGTTTATGCCTGTAAGCTTCCCAAAGGGAATCATTTATAAATTATTTATCAGCAATTGGTAAAGATTCTGCAAGTTATATGGGAATCTTTCTGCCTTAAAATATTATAGTTAAGAATTAAAGCAAACAGC